CTTTCCCTAAGGGAGTTCATCCAGCTCCACAGAGCAGCAGCAGCAGCAGTGTCATCCCACCAGAAAATTGATGGTGCAGTCACACAGGGCAGGCCTGGGTCATACCAGCAGCTCCTCACAGTGACAAAGACATGTTAAAGCCACATTGTGCTTCTCACCAGGCATAAGAAGAAAGGCTGCATGCATGAACTACACACAGGCCTTGTAGTCTCTTCACCCCAGTGTCCAGGGCAGACATCCCATCCCGGAGCACACACCCCAGAGAGCCATGCATTCAGCCATCTTGGCACATGCCTCTGGCACCTGGATTACTGCAAATGTTACCAAGGAGACAAGCCAAGACTAAAACCATCTTTCCTTCTAGGGTGTGAGCTGGCAGCACCCTAAAGGATTGATTTGGAAAATTACGGAATACACATGGCCTAAAGACTCACTGCCCTCACAAGTGTCATGCTCTCTGAGGACACCAGGGTATAACACACAAAAAAGAACAGCCTATTGTACAAATGCGTGTAGTGAGCCGGGAACGCCAAGCACACACCTCATGACCTCTTGTTACTGTGGCCTCCCTGAGCACCTCATCCAGATCACCTTCGACTCAGATTACACCTAGAGAGTCCAGCACCCTCCACACAATGCACCAGTCAGCTCTCGGCCCCATTAGACCCAATGGCTGCCTCCTGTTAGGAAATTTTATAACACCCTCTTTGTAATCCTAGAGTAAAAATAATAGACATTTCATAAAACACAAAATTATTTTTTAAAAAAGGAAAATACCATAACTGCAATACAAAGGAAAATAAAAGACAGTATTTTTAGTTAAGGTATATTGACTATATTAATACTTGGGCTCAACTACCCTGGACAGTGTGATGAAAAAGACAGAGGCTTTCATCTTCTAATAAATGTGTAATTTTTAATGACATAAGATCACTCCACAGGAGAAAAGGAATATGTAAGAGTGGAAGTGAGGGGGAGCACTCAGAAAATAACTAATATCAAGAGAAATAATAACTGTCTAGACATACTCATGTATGATAAGGAAAAGTACTTTAATTGAGATAGGGATCCCATGCCAGGACAAATTACAGACTCCGGAGGCAGAAGAGAGGTAATATCAACATAATGACCTGTACTGCGTTCCAAGACATCTTGTCTTGAAATCCCACCCCATTAAGACATTCATTAACTCTCCAGTGCTTTAATAAAATACTTCTGATGGGTGACAGCAAATTGAGGCTGATTAGGAAAAGGAACAGTAGCACAAAGGATCTTGAAACAGTAGTCGGATAGATCTGTGGGGACAATAACAGGATAAGATTGAAAAACAACAGGCAACCCCAAAATAAATAGGTAATTTCAAATATAAGCTTTCTCATATCAATTTTCTATATCCCAAAAAATTATTTTAATATGCTGGTTGGTCATAGAGGAAATGCTACTATAAAATCCTAACAGTCCAGTGGAATAGTTGTAAATCTTGTGATAAAAGGATTATCCCATGTCAGGCCAACCAGCATGCTTGGCTCTCACCCAGTAAATGCCCACCTCCTCTCCTTCCTCTGGCCCTCCCATTTTATTGTGACAAGTCCCACACATTTCCAAGACTTGCCCAGGGCCAGTTGCTGAGACACAGCCATGGGCATAGTTCTCAAATGGTCTCATTCCTATGACATCTTCAATGTCCTCAGAAACACTCCCTGGAGTGCTCCCTGGCAGAGACCGAGGGCAACTACTGCACGCAGCTGGCCCAGATCCAGGCTCAGATCGGGGCCCTGGAGGAGCAGCTGCACCAGGTCAGAACTGAGACCGAGGGCCAGAAACTTGAGCATGAGCAGCTCCTGGACATCAAAGTCCACCTGGAAAAAGAAATTGAGACGTACTGCCGCCTGCTGGATGGTGATGGAAAGTAAGTGAAACGCTTGGAAAATTCTTTTTGTACCTCTCTTAAACGACATCCAGACACTGCCTATTTGCCTTCCATACTTGAAGCCTTTTCTCCATTCTCATTGCAGAAAATGCCTCTGCAATCATATCTTCCATATTTTGTATATCACAGCATCTTTTTCCTCTACCTTGCGTGACTCCAATTATCCCTGCAGAAGTTCTCATTTCTTGTCTATATTAATCACTGAGGGATTCAACATCCCTCCACTCCTCCACCTTCAGTTCATTTCTAATATCGCCACTGCCCTGAAATAAATGCACTATGTACAAACACTCAGGGTCCATATAGAGAGAGGCCCCAGGTGTGTATCTGTGCGTATGTTCTCCTTAAATCTTAAATTCCTGGGTTTAAAAAGTCAACCAGAAACAAGGTTTTACAATATATCTTCTCATTTAATTACCTTCAGCTCATGCATACAAAAATCTTAGTATTTTCTTCTATCGAAAACTAAGATCTGTTTTTGGCCCACCATGTGCACTTGAGATAATTGATTCAGTGAATATTTCTTAAATGATAGTAAACAGAAATCTAAAAGAATAAACTATAATTTTTTTTAACAGTTCGTGCTCCAAATCAAAGGTTTTTGGATCAGGAAGTTCAGGGAATCCATCGAAAGGTAATAAAATCTAGTTTTATTTCTATTGCACCAAATACTTTGACATTAATGATAGTAATAAACTATGGAAACAATATGTTTAAGTAATTTTACCTAAACTGCTCTGAACTAAAATATTAGCGTAGGTAAAAGTATCCCAAGCTATTTTATAAATATGTACTAGAGACCAGAAGTTGGAGTAATAGTTATGTTGCTGGACTCCCACGTAGTCAACCACAGTTTGCGTTCCAGATCCGGCGGCTTAAATCTCATGCCAGCGTGTGTGCATGCATGCCCAAAATCCCAAGAGGAGAATGGAGGAGAAGGGACTGGTGTGGCCATCCCCCTTGGAGGGATGATTTCTCACTTTCTGTCTCTGTCTGTCTCTCCAGTGAACATCCACGCTCTATAACAAAAAATTTCCAAAAAAAAAAAAATCTGTATTTACTCATTCACTAAAAAAGGTACATAATATATTATAAGCAGTAATGTAATTCTTTGTAACATCATCTTTTATGTTGGATATATGTATTCATATATATTTTATTTCTAGATTTATCCAAAACCACATTGGTAAAGACAGTGGTTGAAGAGATAGATCAACGTGGTAAAGTGCTTTCATCGAGGGTTCACTCCATTGAAGAAAAGCATCTAAAGTGACCAGTGGCAAGGCAGAACAAAGGGCTCCTTTCTGGCTGTCCTTTTAGAGAAAAGAACAACGGGAAAACATCCTGCACAACTGTATTATTGGAAATTCCAAGGATAATAAAAATACTTTTTACTCTTAAAGATAGTTACTTAGCAAAAATACCTGTTTCTTAGTTAACTTTTAAAGGATATTGGGCATTTGCTTTCAGGTTTTAAAAAATGATGTGCATCTTTCCTAATCACTGATGACTAATAAATAATTATTTGTGATTTTTTTCTATGTAAAATTCATAGGGAGATATTTATGGAATGCATTTTAGTTGCTTTTCACTCTAGTTTTAAATAAAAGTCAGTATTATCACATATTATTTAATACTGAATATTCATTAGGTGTAATCTTTAAGTCCCACTATGTCTGCATGGGCAAATAATCTGAAAAACTTCGGAAATTCTCCAGTGACTGAAAAGTCCCACTGCTAGATGTCACATTCCTGGCATTTTACAAAGAGCCTATCTTTTTATATATATATTATTTATATGTGTGTGTGTATATGTACACATATGTATATTATATATATAATTTTACATGTAATAACTATACATCTTCACAATATACAGCATGGTCTTTCCCCGTACGAATACAGTGCATATTATCAAGTCAAAGACATTATCACATCACCAAGTTACCTTTTCACTTTAGTGTCTATTAAACTTTTTTTTCCTGATCCCCTCCCTCTCACTCCCTATTACCCAACCATTCTTACCCTCCCCCTCCTATACTGTTTTTAATTATCTACAGTTAACATCTCTGCTATTATTTCTTCCATCTTTTAGTTTCTGTTACAAAGTGCAGATATTCGATGTATATTAACTGGGAACATACAATACCCATATTTCATAGTCTAGTTTGCTTCACTAAATCTTCCATGTTCTTCTGCTCTGTATCAAATGTCAGGGTTTCCTTGCTTTTTATGGCTGAGTAGTACTCCATAGAGTATATGTACCACATTTTTTTAATCTGTTCATCTGTTCTTAGACATTTGGGTTGATTCCATGTCCTAGCAATTGTGAAGAATGCTGCAATAAATATGGATATGTAAGAGTTTTTCTGACCGAGGGTTTTCCTATCCTTTGGATAAAATCCAAGAGCCTATCTTAAACTCTTCTAGGATTCTAGATACTTCCTGGGATCCCATTCCTCATCTCAACAGGATAATCTCTGGAAAGATCACAGCAATGAATACCTACCCATATTGTTGTTGTTGTTGTTGTTTATTTTTTTTTAATAACAAGGATAGTAAGCTTTTTTCTGTAAAGCCCCATGTAACAAATATTTTAAGCTTTGAAGGCCATAAATTCTATATTTTAAATGATACATTCAGCCATTGTAGCAAAAAGCAGTCATAGACAAGAGATACACAAATTAACAGAACTGTATTCCAAGAAAACTCTATATATGGACACTGGAATTTGAACTGCAAATTCAAATGCCATAAAATGTCATCTACATTTCATAAAATACTCCTCCTCCCCTTGGTTTTTGCCATAGGGTGCACATGCAGCCAGAGAGAGATGGAGAGAGACAGAGAAAGAGAAAATGAGAAATCACACCCCCAGGGTGGATGGCCGTGCTGCAATCCCTTCTCCTCCATTCTTCTCTTGGGATTTTGAACACACATACATGCACCTGGCATGAATTTCAAGCCACCTCCTGGTCCCAATTACTCCTCTCCTCTCCTGTTGTATTTCTCAACCATTTAAATAAGTAAAATCCACTCTTAGCTAATTGACTGTACAAAAATACAAGACAGGCTAGACTTAACCCCACCTATCCATGTCGTATAACTCAAAGTCTCATGAGGTTGGTGAAAATTGCAATTACTATCTTTCTACCTTTCGGTATCAAATGTATAATAAGAATTCTCAACAAATATTGTATTTCCTAAGAAACAGCAGTTCTTTTACTTCTCTAATATATGGCCGGGTCGCAGTGAAAACATGAATTCTACCCAACAAATTAACAGTCACAGGGGAATTCAAAGTAGTAAAGAAAAGGATATTTACAAAATGAAGCAAATACAAGAAATTCATAGAGAAAAAGCTCCCAAATGCACAATATCCAAGACCAGGTACGCAATTTGTAAGACCCAGTGCAAAACAAAAATGTAGGAGTCAAAATCAGGAAAAATGTACTGTTTCAAAGCTACTAAAATATAAAGCTTTTCCCTTTATTCTGTCGTTGTCCTCTCAACTTGCTTTAGGTTTTTGTTGTTTGACTTTTGTTTTGCTTCGTGGCTTGCTATTTAATGTTGTTCTAAGCAAAGAAAAATTAAAAATTTAAGTTATTGGCATACATTTTATATTGTGCAATGCCAGTTTTACATTCAAATATAGAAACATTTAACTCATATACGGAATCACTGCTAGTGCACAACCCATGTTTTGTCACTTATACATGCATATGCATTTTGTTCTTACTAAGCCAGTGGAAACACTAACAGTTGAGAACTCGGCTGTTTTTAGTTCTTCTCTTTATACACACGCATTCTACTGACACTTTGTACCTTTAGTTTATCGATAAGAAAAAGACAGAAAGAAAAAAACACTGATGATAACATGTATGATTAAACCACTCTGCAGTCTATTCTGGATGGGAAATCGCATTTTGTACCCTGTGACGATGCTCAGGAAATGAACATAAGCTAATTAATTAATTTTTTTAATGTTTCAGAAAAATAAATAAATAAATAATGATTGTTTTAAATTTTAAAAAAAACTGTGTTGCCCTCCCTGTCTTTCCATGTCATTATTTTCAGAGTAAGTGGTCGTCTAATACAGAAAAGTAGCACAAGTAAGGGCAGTACATGATAGGGTTCCTTGGTCATTTTTCTTTCTTGGAACACCCAGGCCTTCTTTTTGAAGCAAGTTCAGTATCAATGCAAAGCCTAGCTTCTCAATCATAGACATAACTTGCTTGGAGTTTCGCCAAATCTCGCACATGGTGGACTGGCCAGAGTGTTATACACGTGACATTGCATGCCCTCTGTGCCACTAAGGCAGAAGAACCCGCATATCTCACACAGTCCTCTGCTCGCTGACATGTCCCATAATCCCATCAGAATTCACTAGCTAGACATAAGTTCAAAGATTAAATTACTAAGAATTTCGAGATGGCAACCAAGAGCATTATATGGGGATGGCCCTGTAGCCCAGTGGTTAAATGCTGAGCATTGGGTGCTGGATTCTGCATGGCCCACTGCAGTTCAAATTCTGGCCCCAACGGCTTGAAAATCACACCAGGTACTCATGCCTAAATCTCAGCAGGATGGAGAAATAGAGGAAGAAGAATTGCAGCATGATCATGCCCCTTGGAGGCTGCTTATTCTCTCTCATGCATGTATGCACACACCAAGTATTAAATCAAACAAGGGACCCTTCCAAACATGAGACCTTGTGCAGCTGCACAGGTTTTATGCCCAGGAAGCCAGCTCCATTTTTCAGACATGATCACAACATGCTGATTTAAAAATAATAATAATAATAATAATAAAACCACCGAAGTACAGAGAAAGCCAATTGTAACAGAAAGGGCACACTGCACTTTCTGGTAAAGGAGTTGTCAATATGAAGAGACTAAAAAGCAAAACAAATAACGCTAATTCACCACTTCCTGCCAAAGAAATAAACCAGAATTCCCTGAATATATATTCAGCAAAGGAATTGATGTAAAATTAAATTCTGGGTAAATTCTGTTGAGTTCACGGGATGGAAGGAAACATCCCATCCTCAAGCTGTAGAGACTTCTGATTTCCACTGCTGCTAGTGCAGAACTGCTGATGAGCTCATTACAGTTCCTTTGCAGATGGTCTCCATGTTCTCTCTGCTTTAAAATCTCCCTCTCCTTCGTCTTCTGCAGCATTGCTATGATGTAACTAGAAGCAGATTTTTAATTCTCTGTACCTCTTAAATTGGAAAACTGATGTTTCCAACTTATCCCAGAAAAATCTCATCCTCTGCCTCATTCTTTTATTTCTCTCTATAGGAACTCCAATAAAGTGTTTGTTAGAACTTTTTAACCGTCATTTTTTCTTTGAACTTCTCTTCCATAGTTCAATCCTCCTCACTCTCTCTCTCTCTCTTTGTCTCACTCTCTCTCTCTCTCTTTGTCTCACTCTCTCAGAATTAGGTCTTTCTGTCTTTCCTATATTTTTTTCCCTTGACTGTGTCTTACCTAGTGTTTAATTTATCTGTTAAAATTTTTATTTTAGTTATGTTTTTTCATTTCTTTTTAAAATGTACCTCATCTTTTTTGATAGTCACTTGTTGATTTGCAATACTTGTATTATTTTACTTCCTAAACACTAAAACTTCGTTTTTTTATATGTACTGTCTTGTAATTTCATCATTTTTGGCCTTTCATGTCCTATTCTACAGATTGTAGTTAGTGTTGACTCTTAGACATCCATGGTTAGTTTCTTCACAGATTTTCTTTATTTTATTACAAGCTTATATTTTGTTAAAATGTATTTTGGGGAATCTTGAAGACCAGGACTGACATGTTCTCTTGTGGTTACCTGGAATAATACCAATTTGAAACATCTTCATTTCTTTTTGTTGCTGTTGTTTGTTTATTTTATTTATTTATTTACAGTCAATCACTGTACATCAATGTAGTATAAAAAATGAGATTTTTCTATCCAGTATACATTGTATATTGGCTCAATCAAAGATATTACCAAACATGTCATCAACAAATAATTTTCTATTTCTTGTTTCTTATATATTTTGCTTCCCCCCTTCGATTCCCTACGTCTCACCATCTACCAACTTCCCCCCTTCTCCCACACTGTCTCTGGTATGTACAGTTGTTTTCCATGCCTTTTTTTTTCACATTTTATTAATTCACTAAAGATCTTAATTAATTTTAAGACTTCCAATAGCAAGCACAGTTGATATATACATATTTATGAGTGTATGTCTGACTTTAGACATAAACCTCAATGAGTTAAGTG